CAACAAAGCTCTAAAGTTGCGCGAGTCGTGTCAAAAATTGCTTTGTATTTTATTATAGTATTTCTCTTCGTTGTTGTTGTTGTATTTTTGGTTTTCTTATTTTCGATTTTTGTTGGTGCATTGTTTGAGCGATTTGTTTGAATTTTGCCGACCGGCGACGATTGGAAACTTGGAGCTGGGAGCTTGGGCAGATGTGTCTCGCCAGTGCCTGGGTTGCGAAGGGGTCCGCTTGACTGTGTCTTAAGTTGGGTTGGCTTTGGCTGGCTTGGCATTTTATCCAGTCACGCTGCAAGTTATTTGCGTCGTGCCCAAGAAGTGCTCTGTTCTCTGTTATTATGCCAGCCGGTTCCATCATCAGTGCCATCGTGAGGAATAACGCTTGCCTCTGCAGTTTCTGGCCCTGGTAACTCGAGCTTTCATTTTGATTTATGCAGTTGGCAACAGAAATTGCTGCGCTTGCCTTAACCGAAAGGGTGTATTGGACTAGAGATGTTGTTTGTAACATTTTTAATGTGAATTTTATAGATGGGGAACTTTTCGCTAAGCGTGAAATAGTAGAGCTATGTGTTTCTTTTTCGATTAATTTTTTCATAATTTATTGCAATATTAAAATTTATTATTAAAATAAAAATAATAATAAATAATTTATTAAAATTAAATTAAAGTAAATATTTATTTATATTGTGTCCAAAGACATCATAAAAGAAAAAGTATACAAGATTCAAACATGTAAAAGTAAATAAATTTATAATAGCTTTAATATAATAATAATAAAAAATAATTGTCGCTAAATAAATATTTAAATTAATAAACACAAAATAAATGTAAATATATATAATAGTGTATTCATGCGACAATTATTTTGCACTTAATTTTATACACTTTTTTTTAAATTTACAATTTTTATATATATTTTTTAAATATTATTATATAACACATTTATTAAAATACTTATATAGGTATATTCATACGTCGACTACTTTTCAATTACGCTTTTAATTTAAAATACCTTTTTTTTTTGCATTTCTGGCTGATTTAGTTTTGTATGTTTATATGATATGAAATCCACTTGATGCTGCACTTGTTGAATTTCGATATGTTGTGGGAAAGTTGTTAAATGGGTTCCCAATTATTCTTGGGTTGCACATATTTGTGGCAGCAGCTGGCCAAAATGTATGCATAAATATTGATGCTCATTTCGTATGCAGCAGCTGCCTGAGATTGTCTCTTTTTTATCATAATTTTCTTTTTATATAATTATATCTCAGTAACTGCCCTGCCAAGTTTTGAGGCAGCAATTTGCAAGTAATTCAAGTCGAGTTTTATTTTGTTGTTTGTTTGAGTGAATGAATGAATGAAATCGAGGTGGCCTTGGAGACAACTTCCGTTGTTTGGCAGCGAGTGAGTGCCAATTGTGAGAGTCACTTGTCGACGCGTTGTCTATTGTGTAGATACATATGTCGGAATAGCACTCCACACTCATCAGCTTAATGTCCAATCATAATTGGTCGACTGAAGGCTGCGCTCCATTGTCGTGAAATTCGCTCAGTGTAATGAGCACTCGTAACCATAATGGCATAATTATAATGCCGCCAGGCCCAATTCCAAGTGTTGAACCAAAAAAAAAACAAAGCAAAAAATACTTGAGTTTCGCCTGCGGTCCATTTCGTGTTGCGGTCAAGTGTCTGGATGATTATGTACAAAGTGTTTGCATGCACTTTGAGGGTCTAGCTCTAGGAGTGGAAGTATCTATTACAGCACTTTAGACATATTGAAAAGGTACATACATATGCCTTATGGGAAGCTCATTCTCTTTGACGATCAGTTATATTTTGATGTCATCCCTTTGTCCTACGCCTCTGTGTGGAACAGGTTTACGGACTTACTGCGAACTGTCAACGGGCTGCTACGTATTCACAACTCATTATTTACACTCGACATAGTTGCTATTTTTGGGCTATCGAATTTCAGTTATTTCAGCTCTGTTCTGTTCTCAGTGCCTCGTTTGCATATGACACAAATACGATTTTCAGATTCCACAGCAGAGCTGAACAAAATTATGTTTTCTGTTTTTGTTTTCTGTGTGTGTGTGTGTGTGTCTTATGACCAAAGACGACTGGCGTTTTAAATATTTACAAGTTGTCACCATTTCGGGGCGATTCGTTTGGCCTCCAAATATTTGCATATACAATACATATTTATTTATCTATTGACGGCCTCTAGAAGCGCTCCACCTGCTCAATAAGCCGATCCCAAGCTAAGCTGGCCAATTGCGCAGCAGCAGAAAAAATAACAAATCAAAAAACTTTTTTCAACTCGGAAATTGTTATGAGTAAATTTGATTTTGTTATTTCTCACTTTTTGCTTGTGTTTATGCCCTCACGACTGGCCAGTAATATTGAAAACAAAAAGGAAGCAAAAACACATTTTCTGAAGTCGACGTCATCGATTGCCGCGGCGCCTCTCAATTGAAATTTGCGAATCACTTTCACCGACATGCATTTGAAATTTGAAATTCAATTACGAAACCCAGTACGCCCAGGTCTTAAAAGTCGCTTCAACTTATCGCCGGCGGGCAATCAATGCAAAGAGCGTAAATGTTTATTAATTGGCGGCAGGCGGGCAAAAGCCAAATGCAATTTTTGCAAAACGGGTATACACCACTAGGAGTTATCTAGTAATTGAGCAGCTATGAGTATAG